TGGCCCCATGCTGTAACAAGACTAAAGCAGAAGGACTCTGGGAATAATTTTGCTGCTAACCTTTAGGCGTGAACTAAGGTTTTTCAGAAGCTTATAACTTGGTCAAATAAGTGTGGATTTTCATGGGCCTGGCTAGCAACTTTGACCTAATGGCCAGCCCAATGCCAGATTTCATGATAGGGAGACACTAGAGCTTTTCAAGGGAAAGTTTGCCAGATTTTTTTTAAGGGAGCAAAACAGTATTTTTCCTAACTTCAATCTAGGCAATTACAAAATTAATTGGCTGCAATTTTCCAAAACAGTTCAGCCTGAGGCAGGTATCCAATATGAAACATTCCAGCTGAGACGGTTCAAATTTGGCAAAGTTATCTGCAATTGAAAGCAGGGCCCTAGAATGGGACATTTCAGGTCGTTCTAATAAGAGGCAGTGCTAACAGCTCTGCCTATAATTTACTATAGAAGAAAGGTGGACTGGTTACACAAAGCATTTCATGTCACTTAAAACTGTGTTTCTTTTAACCTAGAATTACAGTGAGGTATAGTTTTAATGGATACGGTATATATTCTTTTGCAGACCACACCAGTTCACAAAAATGAACTAAAGCAAACATTTCCAGCTGCCTGCTTACAGACACCATATAAAGCCCAGTCTTACAAGCAGCTTGAAAAATGAGGTTCCGACACAGTTCACAGCAAAGTAGCAGTTTAGTTTATACTGTGCCGAGTGATTACAAAAACCTATCGTCCCCTTCCACCCCTCCCACAGTGTTTAATTTTCAGTTTGCTTATTGCTAAGTATCCTGTGCTAGTTACAAGCCAAGTGTTAAGAGTTATTTTACATCATCTATATTCCTTCTTCCTTAGTAGTATTTAATGAGTTGAAGGGGCTGGAAAGTTGTTCTCAGCCAACCCACTGTCCTATAAGTTACAAATGACATTTCATCTTCATATGCAGATTTCTGTGCCTAAGTGAATTATTTACAAGGTACAGCTTGTGAACTCCAACAATCAGCTGCCAGAGATTTACACCTACACTGAGTCCCTGATCTCCTGCTGGGAGAATGTGAAGTTTTCCACAGCCCTTTAAGATCTGAAGATTTAACAGAGAATAGTTCTTCCTGAAGCTGGCATTGCCTTGTCTGGGATAGTAGCTGACTAGGCTTTGCTGAGGGAAAGAGAATAATGGTGAGCTGTGAAACACCAAGAATGACTGCTTCAGTAGCTTAAAATAGTTCCTTTTGCTTCATTGGCATGCAGCTGTAAATCAGATGCATTGAGGTTAATTTAAATATTATACTTCCAGCTTTGCATGTGGGATATCAAGGGTGGTCCTATTATTGGGGTGGGATTTTTTTTCTTAATAAGGAGAAAAAAAACGGTGAAAGAGAATGGGCTGCTATTACCTAGGAAGTCAGGAGGAGGCAGATGAGAAAAAAAAAAGGAAATTATAGACTCTTCACTAACCCCTACCTTAGCGTTTTCAGGAATGAGGGTGAAAGAACATTCTAAAACTGTACCAAGTTTAAGACAAATTCTTTTAAGTGTATTGAGTGATATGTTGAAAGCTGTGTTTGCACTTACTGAGGTTTTGCATTCACAACACCCTCTAAGAAGCCAAGGATCGTGAAGAAGGGTTGTTGTTACAAGAGCAATTATCATGTGATTCAGCATAGTTCCAGAGCCAACTCAGACTAGCATGAGTGGGTTTAGGCACATGCGTGGGTATGGGTTCTTCCAAATAGCAAAATTGTGTGATATCTTCCTTTCTTTCTTGTAACCTCTGTAGTTTCCACCTATTTTGTACTGCAGTGAATGTCATCACAGCAGAGATTTACACCTGTTGGTAAAGTTAGAAAAAACAGTGAGCTACAAAATAACCCTCCCCCTTTCATCAAGAGAAATGGTGGAACTACAGTCTTACAGAACATACAATCTAGATGGGACAAAATAGCAGTAAGCATACACCGGGGAACAATCCCTCACTGCCAGTGATCTAGACTAGATGTCCTGACAGGGGTTGTTTTCCCCCCATTCTAGTTTCCATGATTAGGAGGCACTCCAGGTCTGTATTACTCTCTTTCAGGTTCCCCTTGTTGTTTCTTTCAGTTTTCTCTTCTCTCTTTATTTGAAGTTTTTATATTGAAAAGTCTGTGACATCATTTGCCTATTTTAAATACACTTGAAATAACTGACCATTAGGAAAACCATTCTCGTCCTTGTCTTCCTCAAAACTTTGTGTGTTACTGTTAGAATTAAAACAGACAAAACTGCTTTGACACCACTGCCTCTCATAATTCTTGTATAAAATGGTACAGCTTCATCTGGATGCTGAAAACTTAATGGTATGTTTTGTATGGCATTTCCATTCCTTGTGACTACTATGGACCCACTCCCACAAACTGTCCCTATTCAGCAAAACACTTCGGCAGCAGCAGCAGCAATCCCCCACAGACAAGGATGATTGTCTTCCATGACTGCCTTATCTGTGGGTTCAAAGATGACCGACAAGGCCAAGCGAGGATCCACAGCTTCTATTGCAACTCAGGCATGTGTTTCTGTGGGGTGTGAGTGGCTCTGGTTTCTTGGTTCAGTCCGCAACATGCTGTTTCTGCCACTCCTGCTTTTCCATCTCGTGTTGCTGAGCTGGGAGAATAAAAATTGTCTTGGGAGTCTGTAGTTGGACATCTGGATGATGTGGCCAGCCCTGCTAAGCTGATGTTGGATGATCATTGCCTTGATCTCCAGGGTCTTTGCTAACATTAGTACGTCTGTTATCCCACTAGATTTGAAGGATCTTCCTTGGGCAGCATTGATGGTACTTCTCCAGTGACTTGAGGTATCTCCTGTTCATTGTCCATGTTTGAGCTCTATACAGAAAGATGAGGATCATGACTGCTTGATAATCCATGAGCTTGGTTTCAAATCTGATGTCATGATCTTTAAACACACATTTTTTCAGGTGTCTGAAGGCTGCATTTACATACTTGAAGTGATGTTGGATTTCTTTGCTGGTGTCAACATTCTGGGAGAGATGGCTTCTGAGCTATGGGAAATATTCAACATTCTCCAGAGTCTCACCATAAATCTGAATTACTGGAGCTGGGGACTGAGCTTATGCACAAGCTTATCTTCAGGCACATATCAAAATCTAATTGAATTTGAAGTTCAGCCTGTGTTGATGTGCTTTGCCAAATTGCCTATATTTGGTGCTTGTTGTCTTTCTGTTAATAACTGGCTGCATCCCCATGTGTCCCTGGGGCCCCTTAAAACATGATTAACTGGTTAATCACATGTTAAACAGTGACCTGGCCACACATGCAATCAATTAATGGTGTGATAAAATGAGGAATAAGCCATAAAGTTATTATACAAAATATGTGTTAGGATATTGTGGCTGGCTCCTACTACTCCTTTAACTGCAAGTGTAGCCAGCGCCCAGCCTCTAGAGCACATGAGAGCCTTTCAAGACTTGCTTGTGCTTCAGAGGCTGGGAGGCCCTTCAGCTGATGGGGGCTCCCAGCTAGAAGCCCAGTCATATATTCAGAGTCTAAGCTAATCTTGCTAGTTGCTGGTGCAGAGGCAGCCCAGGATTGTGCTCCCTCTGCGCCGGCAATATGGTACAATGGGATCTGACGCAGGATCCCACAGTCACACTTCCTGCCGTGCACATGCACCACACCCAATCACATCTTTACTTCTATGTCTGTCAGGGCCCTGGATCTACTAACTTACTTTGCTATAGGAACACTTGTGTTGTTGGGATTATTATTTTTGTGGGGAATATTGTATTTTTGTTTATTGTTTGTCGAACATTCAGAGCAGCTGTGAAGCACTTCAAGAGAGAGAACTCAATAGAAAATAGATTGTTCCCTTGACAAAGGATGAATAAAGTTTGTTAAATGTATAACTGTTTTCCTTTATTCCTTGGGAGTCGGACTCGATGATCTATTGAGGTCCCTTCCGACCCTAACATCTATGAATCTATGAATTTTGCTCATTCAAGGAGTAAATTCATGTGAGTTTTCTCCTTTAAAACCAGAGAACAATAAAATGGTAATGAATTTGGACCAGCTAAAATATATAATTACCTAGTAATAAAAAGAAACATAAAGGTACTATGTTGTTAAATCCATTTCATTAGTGCTATATACATAAAAGCTCTTTATTATATAATGTACAAATATTGTGCCTTACCATTTTCATATTATAATGGTCTTATTTTTGACAGACCACCAGCAAACAGCCACATTACAGGCCAACTGCAGTAGCTGTTCAGAGTTTCACGTCTTTATTTTCTCCAGGTTATTATACCTTAGACCTGTACTGACCCCAAAATAATAAAATATTTTGAGACTCCAAAATAAAAACTGTGTTCGGATAAATGTGCATTAAGCATTATTGTGATCATTTTTCCTTACAGGACAGATGGCATTTTGAATCTCCAAGTTTGGGAGTCTCAAATAAGTGGAGGAAG